GCCTGCCTCCCGAGCCGGCCTCCCTCCGGGCCCCAGGAGTACCTGCCATCTGCAGCGGCCGCGCGGGGTGCAGGGGGCTGAGCGGGTCGCCCGCGCCCAGGCTGGCCCTCTCCACCACGTCGTGGTCGGCGCGGCAGAAGAGCCCGTCCTCACGCAGCGCGAACTCGTCCCCGGGGATGAGCTGGCGGCTGCAGGCCACGCAGCGGAAACACTCGATGTGGTACACCTTGGAGCGGGCGCGCATCACGAAGTCGTTCTTGCTGAAGCCGATGCTGCACTTGGCGCATTTGATCCCGTACAACCTGCGCGAGGGGGCCGGGCACGGCCGGGCCGGGAGGGAGCGGGAGAGAAGCACAGGGACAGCGGTCACTTTGGGGCGGACACTGCCCGGCCCGAGACCGCCCGCCGACTACCCGGCCACAAGGCCCCAGCCACCGAAATCGGCATGAAACGGACCAGCTGGGAAAGAAGAACAGACCTGGTTAGGTCTCGCCCCCTCGCCCCCTCTCTCTCCCCTCTCCTTCTGAACCTCTGCATCTCCGTGGTACCTCTGGGTTCACGCGTCCACGCCAAAGACAAACGTCTGACAGGCTCTGTAACCTGGGCCGGGCTGGAGCGATCAGTCACAGACCCGCAGCCACCGGCCCCACACTTTCTAGAAATGCCTCTAAACCTGCAGCCAAAAGTCCTCCATCCAAGAGAAACAGACACCGTCACCCCGCTCGGGGTGCACACACGCAGAAACGCACAAGCAGAACAAAATGAAACCCGAGGGTTTCGGATCCATGCTTCGCAAGTCCCCTGCAATTTCTCCGGAACTAAAGACTTCTCCGCGGGCAACAATGTTAACACAAAGTTTCCTCTGCAGTCTTCCTTTCATTATTATTTTTCAGAATCTGCTTCTGCTCCCCGCAATCCTTTTACAGGGGCTGAAGCATCTACCTCGATTTCAGTTTACTTGAGAGTCATGACCAGCCAGAAAAATGAAAGAAAAAAACAAACCACCACTTCTAAGGTCTTCCTCACTGCTGACCTTTCCTTTGTAGGTTCCTTCTCAGCAGTGCTGGGCCCTGTCGGTGTATCAGTAATAACAGAAGCTGGGGCATTGCTACAAAAAGACCTACAGAAAGCGGGGAGGGGGGCACCTCACTTCCCCAAGGGGAGAAAGGCACTGGGAAATCTAAAGGATCTCTCTGTTCAGCTTTTACAAGTACAGGATTTCAAAGGGGCCAGCGCAGGCACACACACACACACACACACACACACACACACACACACACACAGAGGAGCTGAGAGAGAGAGTGGAGAGAGAAAGGTAGAAGCAATTGGCTCCTTCTACAAAGGAGTATCCAGAATTAGGCACACGCAGGTCTGTATGCAACTGAGCAAAACACTATCTCCACGGGAGTAAAGATACTGCTCCTGGAGGTGCGAAGTGAGCTCGCCCTCTCCAGAGTCTCCAGTTCACACACCGATCGAGTAAACAATGAAAAAGGCTCATTTGTCAGAGGTTAGAGGTAGATTCAAAAGTTTTGCCTCCCTCCGCCTACTCCGTGTGAGATCTGCCATTTCATAGGATGAGGGCTTTACCTTGCCGGTGACCAAACAATTTGGAAAACCCCTCCCCCTTC